TGAAAGTGTCATAATTTACCTAGACGATATTCTAATTCCAAGCTTCACGATTGATGAGGGGCTCGAGACTCTCGAAACGGTGCTAGGATTATTTCATACAGCGAATTTGAAACTGAACTTGAAAAAATGCAAGTTTTTCGAAACTAGCATTGATTATTTGGGCTATGAAATCAGCGAGTCTGGTATTAAACCCGGGAAGCAGAAAATCAACGCCGTTCTGAATTTTCCGACACCAAGAAACATCCATGAAGTTAGGCAATTTCTAGGTCTGTGTTCGTATTTCAGAAAATTTGTCAAAAATCATGCTATCATAGTTCGGCCTATAAGCCAACTACTGAAAAAAAACTATCAGTGGGTATGGGGCGAATCACAGGAAAAAGCATTCGAAACAATCAAATCCATTCTAACAAATAGACCACTATTGAGTATATTTGATGTCAATTTAGAAACCGAATTACACACCGACGCGAGTAGTAAAGGCCTAGCAGCTATTTTAATGCAAAAATATAGTGATGGCCTCAAGCCTACCATGTATTATAGTAGGGCGACGAGCAGGGAAGAAAGTATCTATCATTCATACGAATTAGAAACATTAGCAATAGTCGAATCGATCAAACGACTCCGAATTTATTTAACGGGTATCCACTTCAAAATAGTTACTGACTGTAATGCTGTCAGATTGACTTTCAGTAAGAAAGACCTTTTACCACGCATTGCTCGTTGGTGGCTGTCAATACAAGACTATGACTTCGAAATAGAACACAGACCGGGAACCAAAATGTCTCACGTTGACGCTCTTAGTCGAAACATCGGAAATACTAGCAAAGTCCTAACTATAAACATGAATGATTGGATATATTGTCTTCAAACTCAAGACCCAGAATTGATGGCTATCAAAACAAGACTGAAACAAGATAACCCAGATCCAGAGCTCAAAAATATTTACTCTGAGAAAAATCATCGTCTTTATAGGAAAACTGCTGACGGAGAAAATAAGCTTGTCATTCCGAGATCTGCAAGATTTAGTTTAATGCGAAAGTTTCATGACGACATCGGACACATTGGTCTCAATAAATGTGAAAAACTCATTAAAAGCAAATTTTGGTTTCAAAAAATGACGAGATTTATCAAAAAATATGTCAATGCGTGTCTGGATTGTGCCTTCAAACGTGGGAAATATGGTAAAAAAGAAGGCTTCCTACACCCTATACAAAAACCAACACAACCTCTAGATACGTGGCATATTGACCATTTAGGCCCATTTTGTAAAAGTAATGGTTTTTCCTATATATTAGTCGTCGTCGATTCGTTCTCTAAATATCTATTTGCCAGACCCACCAAAACAACGAATACCAAAGAAGTTGTTTATAATCTCAAAGATTTATTCAGTATGTTTGGATTACCAAAGAGAATAATTTCCGATCAAGGTAAAGCATTCAAATCCAAAAAATTTGAAGAATTTTGTGTTGAATTTAAAATCAAACACATATTAAATACAGTGGCGTCTCCAAGGTCCAACGGGCAGGTAGAACGCTACAATCGCACATTATTGGATGCAATCAATACAAGTATAAATGACGAGTGCGAATGGTTCGAAAAATTACCGCAAACAGTTTTAGGAATCAATAATACAGAAAACAGTAGTACTCACCTAACTCCTCATAAACTCATGTTCGGTTTCGAAAAAAACGTCTTACTAGCAGATCTTGGAGATGACAGTGTTGAAGAAATAGACAGAAATAGGGATCGAATGAAGGCCACTTACTCAATGAATAAACAAGGGCAGCGAATGAAAAAATATTTCGATGCTAGAAGGAAGGAAAGCAACGAATACACACTGAATGATCTCGTTCTCTGGGCAGGAGCCAGTGCAGAAAGGAAGGAAACTAATAAAAAAACGGGTATTCGGTTTGGAGGACCTTACAAAATTAACAAGGTTTTAGGCAATGATAGATATGAAATAATGGCATTGAAGAGTATCAAGGGGTACAAAAAATATAAAGCTACAGTATCAGCAGAGCAACTGAAACCGTTTATATCAGGGGTGAGCGATTCGGACACTTCGGATTCCGAAGTGAACAGTACGGATGATTTGATTGATCTACTTGAGGGTTAGAATGCTTTATGAAAGGTAAAACGAAATATATATATACATAGACCTCATTGAGGTAGAAGTAAGGACCTTTCACGAGGTAAATACTCAAAGACCTCTTACGAGGTAGAAATAGACCTTTTACAAGGTAAAAATATACTTATATAAGGACCTCCTTGAGGTAATAACTAAGACCTTCTGCAAGGTAAATAAAAAACAGACCTCTTAGAGGTAAATACCTAGACCTTTCATGAGGTAGAAATAAGGACCTCCTTGAGGTAATAACTATGACCCTTAATGAGGTTAGACCTCATTAGAGGTAGAAAAAGGAAAACAAGACCTTTCACGAGGTAAACATTAGACCTTTAATGAGGTAAGAATCCAACAAATTACAGGTGAACATGACAGAAATGATACTGAACAAAAAAATGAAGTATTAGCCAAAATTTGAATACTGTGGATTTATTTTTTTTTCACAGGAGGAACCACCAAGATAGAGATCCGCACCAAGCCAGGAATTGTTCACCAAGAACCTCAGCGGGGACGCTTCGTGAGCAGGATGGCCGAATGTGAAGAATAATAATTATTATTATCATAGTATTGTAGAAATGTATCATCAATATTATTATTATTATTATTTTCATTGTTTAAATATCATTACTATTATTATTTTGTTGTACGATTAATATAAACGAGGTGATGGAATGTTCAACGGATTAATAAGTTATACAATGCAATACGGTGAATCATTTTTGGAGTCACGCATTCCTGGACGGGATGATAAAAGCCAGTATCCATTGTGCAGGGTAACGAGTCGGTCGAAGTGAATAAATTGTTAAAGCTCTAAGTGTTTGATTCGTTAAAAAGACATATTATAACACAGTGTTTTGTGATTTTGTGACACTGTTCACTGACAGTAGGTTTCTTGTTAGATCAGGGGCATATAGGACATTGTTAAGGGTGCATATGTCTAATTCAACCTTTCCACATCCCTCAATTGATATAGATTGACCCTTTTTGGCTACTCCTACATCTTCTGTGTACGGCAACACTTCTGTGAAGGTATTTTTGTCATTAATCATGTTCTTGCTGCAGGCACTATCCACAACCATTTCAAAGTCAATATTTTCATCCCCATTGTTTTCTGCTATGAAAGACTCAGCAATGAATGCTATCTTCTTATTATTTGGTTTATCTTGATCTCTAGTACTTCTTCCAGGTTTATTTCTATTATCTTCATATTCATCTTTGAACCAGCAGTCATTTTCCTTGTGGTTTGTTTTCTTGCAGTATTTACAAGATTTATCTTTGTAAAAGCAATCTTGTTCTTTATGATTGGTTTTCTTGCATATGGCACATGGTTTTGAATTTTGTTTTAATGATCTACATTGTGGCTTGATATGTCCTTTCTTTCCACATCTCTGGCATATAATTTCGTTTCTGGTCTTTCCTTTTGTTCCTGTGTTGAAGCATACTGATGTTTCTTCTTTATTCTGTCTATGTTTGTCTTCTTCTAAGGACAGTCTTGCAATCAGATTTTCTATGGTTTGGTCTACTATGGGAGTTGAGTCCCATGCAGAACTGAAGTGCTTAAATTTGTCTGGTAGAATTGTTAGTACTTTGGAGACTAACATTGGTTCTGATATTTCCTGATTTAGCACTTTCAGTTTGAAAACCAGATTCTGCAGTGTGCTTATATTTAAGTTCACATCTTTGGATGTATCATATTTATAATTGTAGAACTCTTGAAGAAGCAAACACTTTTCCTGATTGTTGTCTCTTTTGTAGATACGCATTAGAGTATCATACATTTCTTTAGAACTTTCGCAGGTCATGAGATGTAGTTTGACTGATTTATCAATCGTTCTTAGTATTACATGTTGAGCTTTGGCATCTTTTGTTTTCCACTGACTTATCTTTTCTGCATCGGTTCCACAGCTCGCAAGTAGAGAAGTTCCATCAACTATTTCCATCAGTTGTTTTGCTCTGAATAGAATTTTTATTTCGAAATTCCAAACTGGAAAAATGGAACTATCCTTGAGTTTCTGGATACTGGCGATATCGTCATTATCTATCTTGATTGACGCCATGTTTTCGGCTTCTACTTGGATTATAATGTCTGGCTACAAATTATCGTATAACACCAAAACAATGATATTTACGTATATTTTCTATGGTTCAGCAGTTCAAGTATGATCTGGGCACATAACCTGTTGGGTTTCTTTGTAATATGTTGATATGATTGTTGTAATATTTGAAGATTTATAATAATTATATCTTGTAACAGACTTTTTGTATTTTTATTCTTTTATTAATGAATTGACAACCTCTTGACAATTACAGACAAGTGAATATAGTGACAACTTAACTTGAACACATTCCTACCAACTCACTATACAAAACAACATAATCTGACATCTGACAAATGTTTACCAACCCAACATAGGGACACACTGTATATATATATAATATATGTGAGAGGGTAGTCGTTGCTGACTAGTTAGAAGTAAAACTAGGTTTATTGGGGAATGCAGCAAAGTTGAAAAATGTTGAAAATGTGAAGACATGTGGAAAAATCATCATTTTACAAATAAACTAAATTCATACAATTGTGATTGATCCTGTTTTTTGTTCGTCTTATCAACTATGTCATTATCGTCTTATACAATTTTATCATTATCAACATTAATGTGAACCAACCTCAACAAAGATTTCCCTGATGATGGAAATATAATATTCCGAAAGCTTGGACAAACTTTAAAGAGTACTCTTTTCACTTTGCTGCATTCCCCAATAAACCTAGTTTTACCTATATATATATAATATATAAGTATAATTCATTCAGTAATTCATCAATAATTTATTCTAATTAATTATCAGGTTATTGAGCTGACTGTATTTTTTCTAGTGAAAGTTATAAATTCACTTGGTAAAAAGAGGGCTATTGATATATTTGAGGAAACTAAACAAGTTGAGGAAGATGGTGGCATGCTCATAATGGTAAGGACAGCTAATATACATAATTATTGATTAATAATTATTGTTGATTTCACTTATTTTCAGAACCAAAAGAGGAGAAGAACGCCAGGTGGAGTTTATTTATTTTTAGTGAGAAATGACTACCATATCACATTTGATCAGAAAAATGAAATATTTGGTGAAGAAAGACAAAAACATAAGCAGATGCTCAAAGCTAAACAAAAGGCAAAAACTCTCAAACTCAAAAGTGAGATTGGTTAGTTTCAACTACATAAGATTTCATTGTGCATTATAATTCAAAATTTGATTTGGGAATGTTTTGTAGCTGCAGCCAGGGCAAAATGCTTACCTGATCTTCTGACAAGAGCTAAACTCCTGGCATCTCAAAATTCTGATAGGAAAGTTAAGGATGATAATGAAGAAACAGATTTTGTGAATCCTCCCCCAACTCCAGAAACTGATGGACATGAAAATAGTGGGGATGGCATGGATGTACCTTCTACTGTATCTAATGGTTGTGGTCCACTAGACCATCCACGAAGGCAGCTCAATGTGTATGAGGAGGATTTTTTGGATATTGGAACATCAGCAGATATGGATCTCTTTTAAAAATTATCATGTAATTTTCACTTATAAATTTATTATTGTATACACGGTGTTCACTTTGTTCTTGTTTTATGAAGAATAGATAAAAACATTTCAAAATGGAAACCAAACAAAAGTGAAAAGAATAGTTTCTAGTTGCCCATATCTTCGTGTATTATGTAAAGGAACTGTTTGCCCATTGTACTACTTCTGTTGGCAATCCAACAGATTTTTTCACAGCCTCAGAAATTTGTCTTGGTAACACTAACAGTTTGAAAAATTGATATTCTTTCTGAATTCTTGTTCCACTGCTACTTATCATAGAAATCAGCTCCAAATTCTGAAAAACGTCAAATTATAATTTTGATGATAATGATAAAAATTATGTTTCCTCCAAACGGCATAGAAAGTGGCTTTTCACTAATAATAATCTCTCTAGCAGCTAGCAGCAGAATTATAACTGATAATTTTTTAAAGGTCACAAATGCTTTCGTTGATAGAAAATTATCCCAAGTTGAAGACCAGGGAACTTTTCTATCAACAAAAACAAGAGTGATACTGAGAAAAAAATTATTGGAAATTAATTCAAGTGTGTGGGAGATGCAGTAATAAAATTTCATATATGGGAGTTGCTACGACCTATACTGCTTATTACTGAAATGTGAGAAACATTATATAACAAATGTTTTATCTGAAATCCAATGTCTTTATAGTTTTAAATTCAAATAAAACTTGAAAAAATATATTTGCGATGAGTTTAGTTAAATATGAAGCACTATATTTTTACAATAGAAGTTGATTTTATTTGTTAGTAGCTAAGGTTTATTACTAAAATTTCAGGAACATTAAAAACATCAATTCATCCAACCATATCATCTGATATTACATGTCAACATAGCTTCAAATGAAACTTAAAAACCTAACTTTCTGATGAGTTTAGTTGAATATGAAGCACTATATTTTTACAATAGAAGTCGATTCTACTAGTTAGGAACTAGGATTTATTAAAATGTCAGGAACTTAAAAAATATCAAATCATTCTGAATCATCTGATATTACATGTCTACATAGTTTCAAATGAAACTAAATTAACACGTTAACCGCCAAGGTGAAATTATCATAAGGACTGTATCTGTGGAATTTGGCTGCCGGCGCCCAATGATTTTTATTTCCAGGGCGCCATTTGGGTTGCCGGCGTCCAATTATCAGACTCATGAAATGTTGTACGTTGGATGCCAGCAGTTCAATATACTGTTACGATTTTACTCTGGGTCCGTAATAATTTAACACTCGGTAGAACACTTAAAACGATTTATTCTGAACACTACTATACAATAATAACAATACTCGTACTAAACACTTCCGATTCACAACACTTCTTCGATCGTTATTATAACGCTTCCAAATAGACTTCTTTTCTGTCCCTAACAACATCTATTTATATTACCTAATAAAACGTCTAGATTCCACTCGAAATATCGTGAACAGGTCGATAATCTTCTCGAGTCATCTCAATAGCCGTCGAATCACCTAATTACTATTCCAAGAAATATGGCTTGTTTACTTTTCGCAGGTAGCTGGGATCGATTGCCAGGGTCGTAACATTTACCCCCTTCTTCAAATTTGATCGTCCCGATCAAAAACAGAACTCTCCTCACCATGATAGCGCTTCAGTCTTTCAAGATGAACGACTTTCATCTTTGTCCTAGGGCTGCGTTGGATTCTGTAGACCACATCGTTAATCCTTTTCAACACCGTATACGGTCCTTCCCAAGATGGTGTTAATTTGGGTGATACGCCTTTCTTCCGTCGAGGATTATACAGCCAAACTCGATCTCCTTCGAAGAATCCCTCTGAATTGGCTTTGAGATCGTACCGTGCCTTCATTTTGTCACTTGCTAATTTCAATCTCTTCCGAGCAGTCTCATGAATTTTCATCAAGCCATTCCGGAGCTCATCTGCGTAGTCTTGTACTTCCTTTTCTTCAACACTTGGTGAACCGAACACCAAGTCACAAGGTAAGCGGAGTTCTCTTCCAAAGACTATACTAGCTGGAGTTAGCTTCGTTGAATCATGGACAGCTGCTCTATACGCCATCAGGAATAAGGGAAGATGCCTGTCCCAGTCCCTCTGATGCTCTTCGACTACTTTGGAAAGATGTTCTTCCATAGTTCGGTTGAATCTTTCGACCATGCCATCGGATTGTGGATGTAGTGGAGACAGTGGAGTTGTTCTCGTCTTACTGATTCCCATTAGATCACAGACCTTTTTGAATAAGTTCGACTCAAAATTTCTCCCTTGATCAGAATGTAATTCCATTGGTACTCCGAACCGTGAAAACATGTTGTCGACCAATATCCTGGCAACTGTGGAGGCTTCTTGGTTTGGCATGCCGTATATGCTTCTACCCACTTACTGAAGTAGTCCATAGCAACCAAGATGTATTTATTTCCATCATCAGTCAAAGGGAATGGTCCGGCTACATCGATGGCGATCCTTTCAAACGGTGCACCCACATTGTATTGCTTCATTCCAGCTCTTGATCTCGTTCTGGGACCTTTACTGGCTTCGCATACAGGACATCTTCTACACCAACTTTCCACGTCGTCACGACATTGAACTCAGTAAAATCTTTCTCGAATTTTACTCAATGTCTTGTTAACTCCAAAATGTCCACCAGATTTTCCGCCATGAACTTCTTCCAGAACTTCATTAACTCTGATGTGGGGCACAACCAGCTGAGAAATTGTTGATCTACCATCAGCTGATTCCCAAACTCGCTTCAATAATCCATTCTCCACAACTAGTGAGTCCCATTGTGCCCACATCGCCTTGAAAGCAGGCCCTCTATCCGAGATATCCTTCCATGTCGGTCTTTCTGTTCCTCTTTCTTTCCAACGTAGAAAATCGGCGATATTCGGATCGTTCTCCTGATCTCGTCTCATGTGTGCTGCTGTCCACTTATCATCGGTCACAAGTCTGGTTTTTCTAACATCAGCGGTTCCTTCTCGATGTTCAATGCGCAGACAATGCTTACAGGATTCCGAACAAGGTCTTCTGGACATGGCATCTGCATTCTGGTGTAGTTTTCCTGGGCGATGCTTAATCTTGAAGTGATACTGGTTCAGCTTTTCCAGCCATCTTGCTATTTGACCTTCAGGATTCTTCATCTCCATCAGCCACCTCAAAGCTGCATGATCCGTCCTAATGAGAAATTCTCTTCCGTATAAATATTTGTGGAAATGGTCAACAGCCTTAACAATTGCCAGCAGTTCTTTCCTGGTGACACAATAATTCCTTTCTGGTTTGGCCATCACTTTGCTGTAGTATTCTATAACCTTTTCTTGACCATCCTGTACTTGTGATAGCACGGCTCCAATTCCGATGTTACTCGCGTCTGTGTCCAAAATAAACAAGCCTCTCTCTTGTGGGAACCCCAAAATAGGACTCGAACAGAGGCCAGCCTTCAATTTCTTGAAGGATTTCTCACATTCTACAGACCAGTTGAAGTTGACTCGTTCTTCTGTCAATCTATGGAGTGGTGCCGCAATATCAGCAAATCCTTCCACAAAACGACGGTAGTAAGTGCACAATCCCAAGAAACTTCTAACTTCATGTTTGTCCTTCGGTCTTGGCCAGTCTCGAATGGCTTGAATCTTTGTCTCGTCAGTTTGTATTCCTTCTGACGTTACCGTGTGGCCCAAGAAATCTACTCGTTCTTCAGGTGTTCCTCGAAATTCTTTCCCATGACCAAAACATCGTCCAGATATACCAGGCAAGTTTTCCAAGTGAGCCCACGCAGTAAAAATTCCATCAGCCTTTCGAAGGTTGCTGGGGCATTACATAGTCCAAAAGGCATCACAGTAAACTGGTACAGTCCATTACCAGTCGTAAAAGCAGTCTTCTCCTTATCTTCTTCGTGAATGCCCACTTGCCAGTATCCGCTCTTCAAGTCCAGTGTCGAAAACCATCGGGAGCCAGCCAATGTAGTCAAAGTGTCATATATCCTTGGTAACGGGTAGCTATCCTTCTTGGTGACGTCATTGAGCTTCCTATAATCCACACAGAATCTTGTGGATCCATCCTTCTTGGACACTAATACAACCGGTGCAGACCAAGGGCTGGATGATTCTTCAATTACCCCATCCTTCATCATTTTGTCAACCAGCTGTTCCACCTCCTGTTGCTTAGCAAACGGCATTCTTCTTGGTGGTTGCCGAATTGGGTGAGCTTTACCAGTATCTATTCTGTGCTTGACCAAGTTCGACCGCCCTGTTGATGTTGATTCAAAGATATCACTTTCGTCTGCTATGAATTTCTTGGCAGCTTTATATTTCGTTGGTGATAAGTGGTCCAAGGAGGTTTCCAGAACTCTCAATGCACTGTCATCTCTGCTCGTTAGTCTCATCACATTTTGCTACCCAACTGACTGGTTCACAAGCTCCGATGATGTCTCCTTCCCTTACTGTTATGGTGGTAGGTAACACATTTGCTACCCTCACAGGAATGTCTCGTTCGGTGGTCACTAAAGCTCGGGCAAGTAACAGCTTGCTGGGGGATTCCTCACATGACTGTACTAATCCAACGCAGCACCCAGGGTCCTCTTCTAATCGCGCATGGATGATCTTCTCAGTGAATCCAGGAATTCTCACAGTCTTCGCTAGCCGTAGCCTCACAGACGTCTCCCTCTCGGCCGGTGTCGTTAGTACAAACTCTTCTCCTCCAAATTTCATGGTCTTCTGATCACTGTCGAATGAAAACCCGTAGTCGCTTATCAGATCCATGCCGAGGATAAACTCATCTTCGATATCTGCGACGTATACCATGTTCACTAAATGGAGTCTTCCAAGCGTCAACTCGATATCAGCCATCCCTCGTATAGAAGCATTTTCTCCAGTGACCGTACGAAGAACAAAGTTGGAAGTGGTTGGTTTTATACTTCCAGGCCGGAGAATGTCACTGCGTACCAGGGAAACTGATGCACCGGTGTCTATGGTGCAGGTTACATCCATTTGGTTGATTTTTCCTTTGATGGTCAGGCTATCAGTTGTTCTTCTTATCCTTTTGATGTTTATGACCCTGGGGGCTTCGTTATTGCTAGCCAGCATGCGCCCCGATACGCTGGCTAGTTCTAGTTTTCCTGGTATCTATCTGAGGACTCACTAGATGACCTAGTCCTCGCAGGTGAGTACGACCGTGATGGCGTCCTTGCAGGTGAAGAAGATCGTGGTGGTACTCTCACCTTACAGTCCCTTATCAGGTGTCCAGTTCTGCCACAGCGATAGCAGGATCTATTTCGCTGGTTACTAGACCCACTCTTAATTTCTTTGAGTTCCTCAAGCACTTTTCTCAAAATTTTCGCCACTGGGTCCACGTCTTCGGAAGGCTCCTCGATGGACACAGCTCTCACTTTTGGCCTAGAGGTGTTGAAGGCCGCTTCTACCTCCAGAGATCTTACTAGGGCTTCACCACTCCTCTTAAAGTGTGTAAGCCTCAGAGTCTTCTGTATTTCTGAGTCTCTCAGCTCGTCGATGAATACTTGCACCGCCAGTTGTTCTTTGAAGTTCTCTGGTGCCTCTGGGTACGCTAATTGAGTCAGTCTTCTCACATCTGCTTCGAACTCCTGTAGGCTCTCTCCAGACTTTTGCACACGATTTTTCATCTGAGCCCGGTAAAGCTGTTCTCGATGTTGGTCTCCATACCTGAGTTCTAGCGCAGCCACTAAATCTCCGAAGTGGTTTTGTTGTTCCACTGGGATCGACTGTAACATCCCCAAAGCTGGTCCTCTCAGAGCTACAATGAGTGCAGTAGCTTTTTCCTCGTCACTCCACCCATTTGCACTTGCTGCAGCCTCAAATTGTCGGCGATACATAGACCAAGGCGACTGTCCATCAAAAGTTGGTGGTTTCACGGAAGAACCCGATGTGGCAACCCTGTCACGACGATCTTGACTTCGTAGCGAGGCGATCTGATTCGCTACATCTCTTTTGATTGTATCGAACATGGAATCTATTCTTGAAACTTCCTGGTTAAGCTTGTCGTCAATTTTGGTGAAATCTGTCTTCAACTCATCTATTTGCACATCAGTTTTATGCAGAATTTGTTCGAAGAAGATTTTCTGATGTTCTCGTTCTTTTTCTTGATGCTCTAGAATTTTCTGTAACTCTTCTTGACGACGTTGCTCTTCTTCTCCTCTTGTTTTTCTTTCTGTCGTCGTTCCTCTTGTTCCGCGAACTGATTTTGCATAAATTTCAAAATGTCTTCCATCGCGTCGTATGACGTACTCCTTGTATTCACCATACGTCTTCAAATGTCCTTGAAAAATCCACACTTCTGACACCACTGTTACGATTTTACTCTGGGTCCGTAATAATTTAACACTCGGTAGAACACTTAAAACGATTTATTCTGAACACTACTATACAATAATAACAATACTCGTACTAAACACTTCCGATTCACAACACTTCTTCGATCGTTATTATATAACGCTTCCAAATAAAGACTTCTTTTCTGTCCCTAACAACATCTATTTATATTACCTAATAAAACGTCTAGATTCCACTCGAAATATCGTGAACAGGTCGATAATCTTCTCGAGTCATCTCAATAGCCGTCGAATCACCTAATTACTATTCCAAGAAATATGGCTTGTTTACTTTTCGCAGGTAGCTGGGATCGATTGCCAGGGTCGTAACAATACTCACGATTTTCTATATCCAGTTTGTCACTTGGGGTGCCAGTGAGTACTTGTGATATATATGATTAGCCTAGTGCAGATAATTTGGTCTAGAAATACAAGCATTACGAATCTCATGATTTATTGTGTAATACTACTGAACATATGAAAATATACAAAACTATGAATATGTAAGAACAAATTATGATTTTAAATGTTTGTTGAAGCACTCAACACAGATGAATGGTTTAGCTTGAAATCCTGAACAGAATGTTGTGACTTTTTTGCCCAAGTTTGCAGCTATTCTTGCCCCTTTCTGTGTTGACATCTTGTCATAGCACATGGTGCACCTTTTCCTTATTTTTCTATTTCTGTTATATCTCTCTCTCACACACACACACGCATCCCCTCCTAGTTGCCCCACTTATTCTGCAATTGGACGCTGGCGACCAATTGGCCTGGCAAGGATCAGCGTATCAACAGCGCCAGTTGGTCGCCGGCAACCAATTGTCAAAAATGTCATTTTTGAAATCAGGAATACTGAAAAGTGTGTATGTTTTTTTTTCAAAATTTTTAAACGATTTCTTCTGCCATAGTTACACTTTGGGCCCTAGGAATTCCTAGTAGAATTAGACACGGGGTGTCGAGAAACTCATGAATTGTCCGCCGGCGGTCGCTTGGCAGTTAACGTGTTAAGAAACATATCTCCATGGTGCACTATGTTTTTACAAAAGAAGCTGATTTTACTTATTACCACCATTAACTTAATAGGACCAAACAAAATTATCACCAGTCACCCATTGCAATTAGCAACATAATCAAAAAGTAGCCTTCTAATTGGTAGAAAATGAATTTATGAACTTTTCTGTGACACTTGACAGGCAGCAAAGGTGTACTTTCTCTGTCTAGCCAAAACAGTTTGTTTGGATGAAATTGGTAATCCAAATTGACACTGATATTGGGTAAACAGAAAATGATGAGTTTTCAAAGAAAAAATTACAAAAAATTGGTTTTATAACATTTGGAGAAAAAATAATATCTTTCACATAGCAGCAACATAGATTGCCTTGGCTGAATTCATAGCCTGGCTATGCTCAGCTATGAACTATCAGCCAATCTACTACTCTGCTCTCAACTCTGCTGCCTAGTAAAACAATAGTTATATGTTTTAATAGGCAGAAAAGTACAAGATTTGTAGGCTAGGAAACCAGCTATTACATCTTCTTTTCTGCCATGTGAAACATGTAATTTCAGGCCAAAGTCCAAATAATCCATCATTTTTTGTTCACCCAAAGTCATTGTCAATTTTGATTACCAATTTGATTCAAATTACTTGGAACATTGCATAGCAACAAACTTTTTCTGCCTAGGCAGTAAAAGTACACCATTTCTGCCTGTCAAGTGTCATTGAAAAGTCACTTTTAAAGTCATTTGGAGAAAAATAACTATACCTGGATATGTTCAAATGCTTTCATGATTACTGGCCTCTGCACAGTTTGGGTATTGGAATTGCTATTAGCAAACTTCATGTATCTTGTCAGAATCATCTCAAAATTCATGGGTTGATTGTCATATATTTCATCATGATGTTTCATTGCAATTATCAAACACAATTCTAGGACATTAAGATCTTGTAGTACTTGAACAATATCATCTTTTTCCAATTTATCTAGTTCTAGTTGAAACATTTCCACAGTGAGCTTTTCTTGATCTAGATGAAAGAAAATGTTGGTCTGAAAATTTCAATAATGAACTACTTGAATATAAGTATTCTGTTATTATAGAGTGATTATACTTACCAAAAAATTTTTCAATGCAATTCTGCTTATATCTATATCTACCAATCTCTGAATGATATTTCTAAATTTTTTATCACCCAACAAACTATCTAAATGTGAATTCCAATTTTTTCTGATGTTGTTGTTGATATTGATTTCTGACTTGACCTCTGGTAACATCAAATAGCCTTCAATTTGTTTGATTTTGCATTCCAAAGTGTAATCTTCTTGTACATCACTATCAGGAAATAGAAATATTTGTCTATGAGAAAATCTTGATTTGACTCGTTTTTCTAACAACTCTATAACATCTAGTCTACAAGTTACACCTGCAAACATCAAGTTGAGTAAAATATATCAATTAACAAATCATAAAACCAACCTACTATACATATGGGTGCTTGAGCAGATTGTGACACATCAAACAAATTGTATAAGAGAGTTTGATTATGATGAGCACAAAATAAATCAAAATTATCTAGTATAAAAATTACACTTTTGGATGTATGTTTTTCTCCTGTTCTCAAACATGCCAATAGAAAAGCTAAATTTTCTGCAAAACTACCAAATACTTTTCCATCCACAACATTGTCTAGATTCATTTGGAAAGTGATGCTTTTCAATGCAAGGCGGTCATCAGTGTGAATTAAACCATTCAACTGAACAATGATGGAATCTTTTGAGAACTTGAGGTTGTTCTGTATATTGGATAAAACATCATTGATTAACTGAAATCATTTGATTATATATAAAATATCCTTACTTCAGTATAATGTTTTACTAACAATGGTCTTGCCTGAACCCCTTGGACCAATTAGTATTACTGAATTAGATTCACCACTTTGTATTGTTCTCACTATCAAATCAAAAACAAGATTCCTTTGTGAAAATTCTTTTACAAATGTGCCATCATAATTCGAAAGTCTGTTTTTTATGAATAATCTTATTTCTTTCAAACCCTTTATTTCTGACTTCATTATTATGAATGTGGTTCGTGCACGATGACCGACCCTGGAAGTAAAACATTGAAACTTAACCTCAATTTTACCGGTGTGAAACTGGCTGCTAAAATTTCTGAACCTACCCGACAGACAATACCAGTGGCGGGCGGTCATTTTATTCAATAAAAATGTTATTTTACTATAATGAATCAATTTACATGGAAGCTTCATGATCTGATTACTCAAATTGAATAGAATTTGAATACCTCGTATTATGTTGACTTCACACTAGTTAAAATGTTATTCTCCAGAAAGATTCACCTGCCCAACAACATAATATAATCTCCAGAAGTTCTAGAAAATTCTAATACCTACCTCCTATCCTCCCTAGGAACGCACGATGTTCTTTGAACATTATAGGGATTCTCTTTCGTGCGCTCCAAGCGATAAAAAAAATATATAATCAGATTTAATATTTCGATCAAACCATATTAAAAATTTCAGAGATCATTATACTGTTAATGAAATGACAACATTTAAAATTTATGTAATTCATTATGAAATGAAGAAGAACTCGAGTTCAATTTAATGTTCGGAGATTGTACTGAGTATTCTACTACATTCATTAAATCTTGGAAAATCGGAAACTATCATTTTTACTCGATTTTCGGAAAAAAATCGTTTTCTCCGAAACGCATCGGACTGTCAAACTGAAACTAGCGCAAAAGTCTTTTTCTACATTCATCAAATCTCATTCTGCAAGAAAATCCACTTGCTCAGCCTGTGGAAAATGGGAAACTATCATTTTCTTTCGATTTTCGGTAAAAAATCGTTTTCACCGAAACGCACCAGACTGTCAAAGTGAAACTAGCGCAGAAATCTTCTACTACATCCATAGAATCTCATTCTTCAAGAAAATCCACTTGCTCAGCCTGCGGAAAATGAAAAAATATCATTTTCATTCGATTTTCGTAAGAAAAATCGTTTTCCCCGAAATGCACCAGACTGTCAAACTGAGACTATCGCAGAAGTCTTCTACTACATCCATAAAATCTCATTCTTCAAGTGAATCCACTTGCTCAGCCTGCGGAAAATGGAAAACTATCATTTTCATTCGATTTTTGGAAGAAAAATCGTTTTCCCAGAAATGCACCAGACTGTCAAACTGAGACTAGCGCACAAGTCTTCTACTACATCCATGAAATCTCATTCTTCAAGAAAATCCACTTGCTCAGCCTGCGGAAAATGGAAAACTATCATTTTCATTCGATTTTCGGAAGAAAAATCGTTTTTCCCGAAATGCACCAGACTGTCAAACTGAGACTAGCGCAGAAGTCTTCTACTACATCCATAAAATCTCATTCTTCAAGAAAATCCACTTGCTCAGCCTGCGGAAAAGAAAACTATCATTTTCATTCGATTTTCGGAAGAAAAATCGTTTTTCCCGAAACGCACCGGACTGTCAAACTGAAACTAGCGCAAAAGTCTTCTACAACATCCATAAAATCTCATTCTTCAAGGAAATCCACTTGCTCAGCATGCGGAAAATGGAAAACTATCATTTTCATTCGATTTTCGGAAGGAAAATCGTTTTTCCCGAAATGCACCGGACTGTCAAACTGAAACTAGCGCAGAAGTCTTCTACTACATCCATAAAATCTCATTCTTCAAGAAAATCCACTTGCCTAGCCTGCGGAAAATGGAAAACTACCATTTTCATTCGATTTTCGGAAGAAAAATCGTTTTTCTCGAAATGCACCATACTGTCAAACTGAAACTAGCGCAGAAGTCCTACATCCATAAAATCTCATTCTTCAAGAAAATCTACTTGCTCAGCCTGCGGAAAAGAAAACTATCATTTTCATTCGATTTTCGGAAAAAAAATCGTTTTTCCCGAAACGCACTGGACTGTCAAACTGAAACTAGCGCAGAAGTCTTCTACTACATCCATAAAATCTCATTCTTCAATAAAATCCACTTGCTCAGCCTGCGGAATAGCGCAGTAGTCTTCTACTACATCCATAAAATCTCATTCTGCAAGAAAATCCACTTGCTCAGCCTGTGGAAAATAGGAAACTATCATTTTCACTCGATTTTCGGAAAAAAATCGTTTTCACCGAAACGCACCAGACTGTCGAACTGAAACTAGCGCATAAATCTTCAATTACATCCCTAGAATCTCATTCTTCAAGAAAATCCACTTGCTCAGGCTGCGGAAAATGGAAAAATATCATTTTCATTCGATTTTCGTAAGAAAGCATACGAATCGTGTTTCTTGCGTTATTCATCATATCAAGCATGCCGTCGCATTGTGCTGTTGTACAATGCACAAAAAATGCAGCAAGAGACTAGGGAATATGATTTTTCAGGTAAATAGTAATCTCACATAGTTATCATTATGAAATGTTGTCATTCTTTATTAAAATTCCTTCTGCCACTTCTGCAATACAAGCTAATACTGCTAATAGATTGAAAATGTCTACAACACACACGATCGTCAGCATGTCAGACCAGTCCTCCCGATTGATTGCATGAATCCAATCTTCTTGTATTATTTCAGAAATTTCACGTGTATTTCTATTAGCTCCTATAGAAGGAATTCCGATGAGAAAACAGAAAAATTAATGAAAACTATATGTGAGTGACTATAGTAGGTACTTACTTTTAAATCATAATGTACCAACGGTTTCCTTCGTCTTCTGCTGCAGTTTTTGTGCATTGTACAACAGCACAATGTGATGGCATGAGCGAATTGCCAAAATAATTGTGAAAAACTATTTCCATCACTTGTGATCACATAAGAAAAGTGAGGTTGTGTTTCAATGTTGTTCCTCCAGGGTCGATCATCTGACAGTTCTTGCACGCAACCCATTGAATGGGCTGTGTGTTTTCATCCCACAGTCTGTCATATTTTTTATCTTACGCCTCACAGTCTTTCATCCCCTACCTCAATCCTACCAAACAGAACTTCCTGCCATCTCTCTGGGATATCTTCAGATTTTTTTCCGCTAAACTTAGGAATCTGTCCCATTGACTGAGTTGTATTTTTGCTTGCTTAGTTTTTCATGTTCGAGATCATTATTCCTCATTTATTATTATTCTCAAATCCACTTACAAAGTTCAAACTAGGAAAAACATCAAAAACTAATACCTAACCTCAATAATACGACAGAATCGCTGAAAGCCCACCAAAATCCTTCGCTCCTGTTTCGCTTACGAACGACGTTCGGCGTCTCCGATCTCATCCGATTATTGATACAGAGTACCGAAATGGAAAAAGCAGTCGATTACGCATGCTTTCGCTTTGAGTACAGAGTCCCACTGCAGATGTTCACAGATCGTGAGTAATTTCGTGTTGTCAACGTTATGAATGCAGAATTCTTATTTATCGATTACGATCGTGGCGTCATCTCTCAACAAAAGGTGAGAAATATACTTCTCGTTCTAAATCGTCGTACACATTTGTTACAAAAACAATTGAAGAGTCGCTCCACCAGCGAGGGGTCAATTTTTGTTTTATATTCAAATAGATTTTTTAGGAATATATACTTTTCAGGAAAAATTTCCATCTAGGACGAGTTCGGTTGAAAGAAGTCTCTTTTTTACACAAGAACGGTATTTTCCTCCCTCAATTTTTTCATCACTTGCAGCTGGCAGCGCACGAAAAGAAATCCCTATAATGTGCGATGAACATCCTGAATGCAATGAACCTCAATGTAGAAACCGGAGGGATCCACTGGAAGAGTGAGGCAAAGATATTGTTAAAATATTCTCCAGATGAATATTGATCTAGGAAAAAGGGCAATAATGCAAACAATATAAAATTCAAAAACTATAATATTTTATTGACTTTGAAGTGACATTCTATTTTTATTCTTACAGAACTATAGGAAGTCAAATGAATACAAAATTAAAATAATATATTCATATACAAATATCAAAATGTTGTAGAGTAAATGAAACTGATTGTCTTAGCCATATATAAATATACAGCAAGTTGTGCTGTATAATTATCTAAGGTCTCAGCTCTATGATAGGAAAAAGAAAAACGATAGAAAACATTTGAAAAGAGGTTCTTGAATGGTATTGAGTCCCTAAGGACCATTTTAAGCCTAAATTCCATGGGTTCCTATTTCTCCATTATGTCACTGCATTTTAACAAAAAATTAAAGAAAGAAATTCAATTGATACTCAGTGATACCTCAAATTAGAGCTGAAGTTCATCCTGGCTGAGACATGAGTTTTGCTCATCCTGTATACTACTTTTACAGTACTTTTTACATACAATAAAATTGAACAGGTCTTGAATAAAACAAGTTTTGACATTTTTTGTGGAAGACTTCTCTCATGTAACTCCAAATTCATCATTCTAATAGGTGATACATCCTACACTCTAAATATTTATCAACTATTTTTCGAATAATCTGAATGTCATAGCAATCTTCACCTAAAAATTCCTGAGTTACAGGGTGGCTAGGTTTGAATAGTTCTTTATTTGAAGCAAAATAATGTATTACTTCATTTATAATTTCCTCATGATTGTCATTACTATAGACACTATTGGAAATTGATTGAACTACTTCTTTCATTTTCGAAATTTCTAGGTCTCTCCTTTTCACTTTTTGTCTCAGTGTCTTCACTGTTTTTCCCAATGGATTATCCTTTTGGAATGAAACAGTTTGAGTTCCTTTGTTTCTTCGCAATAGCATATCCTTCTGGAATGAAATAGTTTGGGTTTCTTTGTCAAAGAACTTCAATACTTGGGAGCTAGAAGCCATAGGCAAATCAATGTCCATTTGAGAAACTTCTTCCTTAATACACAAGTTATGAACATCCATAGAATCATCCTGAAAATAAATTACTAGCTAGTTATTTCTTTCAAACAGGTGCAAACAATTTTTTTCTTCTCAATATTATCCAAATAGGTACCTACCAGTTTTCTTATTTTACTGTCAGGATCAGTATTTTTTGGTGGCAAATGCCTAGTAAATGCAAATATACTTGGTACAGCATCTGGTTTCAATAACCTAGCAGTACGACCTGGTTTGTCTATATAATCAGTTGGCAGGAAATGCTCTCCACAAAGTTTGCTTGTTTTAGATGGAGTCCAATTCTCCCTATGAACTGCCTCAATCCATAATTCAAGAATGCCTGGCCTTTTGAAAGGAAAACTGCAACAAATAATATTTATGGAAGTCTTGGAAGTATTCAACTTTGACAAATAATATATATATTCTGACACTGAGACCTAACTGATGATCATTTAAAAAACTATGTTTTCCAAAAATCTGAACAATTTTCATACCCATGGAATGATAATTTCCGTATGTCTTGCTCGTTCTTGCATCCAAAGGCTACGCAATAAATCACCATTGTTTATCAGTTTTATGAAATCACAAACCTCCTACAACAATCAATTCACACTCACACCAACAAATTTATTAGTCCTTTTGATAAAATCAATCTCAGAAGTGTAGTTTGTTTATGGATAAAACTTAGATAAAACAAAACCACAGCAAAACACACCAAATGAAGAGATATTTAAAAAAAAAAACATGAGTAGGAATAGGAAAGAGACAGCCGACAGGCAGTGTTGCGAGAAGAAAAGAAGCTGATTGTACTGAAATCACTATCGAATTGTACTAAAACTAAGTGAAATGTACCAGACATGAAAAATTTGAAAAATCGATGAGAATTGATGAACGATAATATTTTTTTCTCATTGTCAGGAATGACTACATCATATATAAAAAAGTGTAAAAAAGTAAATAAAATAAAAAATGTCCTGTCAGGTACATAATCAAAAAGATACAAAACATATACAGTGTCATCCATAAAAATGACTAGCTTCATTGAATATATGAAAAAATCAGAAAAAAATATATCCCATCGGTGGTATCCATAAATAATAGCTAAAAATATATGCAGCATCATCCATAATGAAAGATGACTTGTTCTGTCCTCACAGAATTTATTGATTTATTTTTTGTTAGCTTCGGGTCATTGAAATAATTATAGTATAAATATAAAAAATATAAATTTGGTATGAGAGAATCTTATCGCTCTGTACAGTAATTAACCTCGCGCATCAATAAGCAACGAAAGCTTTCTGCGCAAGTCTCTCTCGTAGAAATGCGAAAGAGGCTCAAAAAGGAGACACTTTTTGGATAACGGAAAAAGCGCGCTTGAACACACTAAAATATTCGAGAATCCTAAGTTATCGGATTTCTCCCCAAAATTTCTTCATACTAGCTTTAATGCAAAATAATGTCGGTGCATACCGCGAATGTGTAGACTCGATGGTGTGGATAGTGAGGACTATTATAGCAGATAAAAATCGACATCAGGTGCCTGACAACGCCGGCCATCGGTAAGCGAACCGAATTCTATCGTTGCCGCAATTTGCAAATAATTACATATTTATATTTTCACTCAAATTCAAATACAGTCCACTCAAGCTTCTCTCTCGCCAAAACATGACTGTACATCAAATATTTGTTTTTATTTGTAGCTTTGTGTAATGAAAGTTCATGTTCAATTGTACTAAACTTGAGCTGAATGTACTGACCAAAACATGAAATTGTACCAGAATTGGGTGAAATCATATATCTACTACTCATATATGAATCATAGTTGTCCTCAAAGTGGAACCAACTTCTGTCTCTATAGGTAACCAGCGTATCGACCAATTGGCGTTGATGTCGACGTAGGAAAAAAATAATAATACACTTGTCAAACCAATATGTCTGTTTCCATCCTTCACTTTCCGTCCTTATAGATTCAAAAAGTACCTCAAATTTTGGTCCTATTTTTGTTGAGATATCGTATAGGCGATGCGCCATATATAGAAATAGTACATATTATTATATGGGTGAAATCTCAGACGAATAAAAGTTTATTCGTCTGAGGGTGAAATGTACTACTGTACTGTACTGTACTAAAGGGTATGAATTGTACTGAATCTATACAAATGTACCAGCTCTGGCAACACTGGAGCGATCCACTTGTGTATTTTGACGTGTTTTGACATGAGAAGGGACATGAGTCATGAGAAGGATGTCTTCTGTCCATCCTGGTCATGAGTTTCATGAAAGGTGTCTAGTGTCCCTGGTTCCATGTTAATTTGTTAATTTTAAGATGTTTTTTTCATCCTTCATCCTTCATGTTTGCTGTTTGCTGTATTGGTTATGTATTTTACTTATTTTAGGCGTCCGCTGTTTTGACTTTTGAGTTTTTTTGTGTGAATAATTTAAAATATGAATACCAATGTTCCAATCTATTGGTAAATATAAAAATGTGTTAGAAATATGTATTATTCATAATTTTTTGTTAGATGAAAAGAATTCCAACTTTCATAGTGTTTTTTAGGTCATTTTCAAATAACTTTAAAATCTCAAATGAAGCAATCATGCATTCCATATTTTCCACTGATATGATTTTTCAGATTTGGAAGTTGACCTGGAAAACATGGACTGGAATGGGGATGTGCCAAGATAGGTATGCTGTGATATGCAGTCTGAGCCAAGCAGGTACATTCGATCAGTGTCAGATCTACTCTATAGTACAGACGAAATCGAATTTTTGCTTGACGATATCAGAGACCTGGAGCCGAAAAGTTATAACCCTGAAGATATTCAGGTAGTCTTTCACAAAATACAAAATTGTATTATTTGCTAAGTAGGTATATTGTTTTGTGATAGTCTCTGCATGGTAATTATATATTTAGTTTCCTATAATTTTGTATTTTTTTTTTTTGAATAAATAGTTTTCAGTTGATTTTTTTGAGTTAGATTGTGTTATATTTTCTATTATTGCTTGATAAGATTCAAGAAAGGAGGTAAAAACTATTTTTGTATATATTGTGCAGAATGCTACTTTGGTGATCCAGAACAGATTTTTCAAACAAGGTGCAGCCAAGTTGAAATTATAGTCCAGATCAGCAATGTATTTCGCTCACTTGCAAACAAAATTTTTTCTACAAATGTCAAAAAGTATTGTTCTAAAATAAGTAATATGCTTAGCTTAATATATAATATAGTAAGTAGTAAGAGAAACACAAAATCATTTCTTACTACTTTACTCCACTTTGAGCTATGGACTTTCACACTAGATTATAAAATAATGGGTTGAACTGGCTTTAAATGCTTTAATTATTGTTAAACATTCAGAATTAAATGATTTCTTGGATTTTTGCTTGATTGCAAAGTATGTATTTCCTGCACTGCTTTACTTCCCACACTGTTTAATGCAGTGTCATAGTGAGGTAGGAAAATGAAAAAAGTGTCACTGCATTGTTGTTATCAATGTGCCAACCTTGTCTTCTTTTGACCTTAGTAGAAAAAAGTTAGTTTCCACTAGACAATGCCTTGAACATTTATTATTAAATCTTGCACTTGATTATCAAAGCACTATTTCACACTAATGGTGAACTCTTGAACAAATTAACAGTTCTAAGTTAGGAATTAATTCTGTTTGATAATTGGTTCATTTCAGAAATCAAATAAGGAATTTGCCAATCACACTCTTAAGTTAGGGCTAAGTTAAGCTGTACATGAATTCATCATAACTTATATTGATTCGAGCTTGAAATTCATTCAATCTCAAGTCATTATTATAATAGAATTATCAATATATTATCCCTAATAATGTCATTCATTTATTTTGATGTGGGATGATATGTTACCACTTAATGTTGAAATTATTCTGGTAAAAGAGCCCAAAAACCTAGTTTGATAAGACTCCCAGAAGATACTTATATTAGTCACATCATTAATATGGGAAGGGGAAATGGCTATGCTGCAATGCGAAAAACAGGCAATGCTATTAAAAAAAAAACGATTCTAGTATGATAAGACCCCCAAATTTCTTCTGTTTCTTGAAACGGAGGCGGGGCAGGACTATATGATAATGCAGTGCTGCAACTGCTGCAAGCCCCCCTGATTGGCCTTACCAGTGGCAACAGCGTGATAAGCGACGCCTCCTACCTAGGTTTCTAGTATGATCAACCTCCTAAAAAAACCGAAGCTCATCTGAAATATCATCAGTGGAGAAAGTGGTTGCTGCAGCGTTTGAAGGTCGCCCTCCACGTAGCTGAATTCGGCGTTCCAATTCGGTTTTGCCAGCAATCACCCGGTTCCATTCAATCTGTAATCTGAAACAAGAGTCCCTTGTATGCTTAACACATATATCTCAAAGCTCTCTGTTGAAGCAAGAATACCCTTTCAAATACATTTTTGCCGCACATTCACCTAAAGCAAATACCATAACGCAAATGCGATTCGAAAAGTGAGAAGTAAACATTTTTGGCCACAGTAAATCCTAATTCATTAGATGTAAATCGAACGGCGTAACAATCAGACGCTAGTTTTTTAGTTGAACTAAATATATGTTCTTCAAAGTTTAGTTTGGCATCAATATCCAATCCCAAAAATTCATTCACAGATTTATTACTGGGGCAATCATTTTTAAGACATATATTGTTGAGAGCACATTTGAAGTTGATTATACCCGTCTTAGTGGTATTGAAAGATAGCAAGTTAGCATCACAACATTTTTTCACTTTTTCTAGGTCGTCATTGAAGATGTCTTTTAAAATCATATCATCAATATCATGCCAAAGGATGGTGGCGTCGTCTGCAATAACTGTAGATTTTCCTTGTATGTTTTCTTGCACCAAGTACTCGAATGCGATAAAATTTCCGGAGAGAGAGCCTGATAAACGGTAAATAATCCAAGGAAGGCATCAGGCGCGCAGGTTTACCAGTTTCACTGCGGGGTGGTTCTCACAAAAAATATTTAAAAAATAAAACACGCTTAAAAAAAATAGTAGTTTAAAAAACTGAAAAAAAACACGATTTTATAGCAAAACTAAGAAGAAGTAGAGAATCGAATAATAAAATTACCCAAATAAAAAATATTAGGCATTCCTGATCAATAAATTCTATGTTGTGTATTTATTAACACAATTTCATTACAAAAGAGAAATTTGAGGTGGTGCAGTGGGTGGAAAGCAACCAAAGCCTGTGAGGTGTTCACCGACTATTTGGCTAAATGACTCAAAAATTATTAATTTTCACTTTTCTTGGCGTATTTATTCAACTTATTTAGTAGAAAAATCATGAACTGGTTTTCTCTTTAGTTCTATAAAATGTCAATTAGTAATTGGAAAAACACCCAATTCTATATGGTCTATATGAATAATAATTTGTAATGTAGGTAGGTACCTCTAATATTGTTTAATTTTTCAGCCGTCTATTATGTTGTTTTTGAAAAAGTTCCTGTCTTTCAAATTTCTAAATAATTTTATTTTGTAAAAAAGTACTAGCATGGCATGTACGAATCTCTTCCGCTTTATTTTTCAATCGAAGTACTTC